TGGCTGGCCTGGGATCAGTCCCTTCGCAGCCAAGCTGTTCCTAGCCTCTCTGCAGGGAAACTTACGGCCGGGCATTTTCCCATCAGGTTTTGATTCCATTAGACAGACCCACGTAGCTACTCTGCTGCAATCGCCGAGGCTCGCATGGTCGATACTCCTATTTCCATTAGGTCTAATCACCTTGTCCTCCCCACTGCAGCCTGCACAAATATCAATATTTATTACAGAGAGAAATATTTACAGCATTCCATCCACCTCTTGGCACTCTTTAAAGGACATGAAAGCTTTGGTCTCTTTTAAAGGAATAACACTCACAAACATTTGTCTTTCAGTGACCACAAGAAGATGGGCTGCTCTGGCCGCTAGAAACCAAACCTACCGAACGAGACACAGAGACAAAGACGACGACGACAACGGGAGTTGGCACTCGGACTGTGTGGGTTACGGCTTTCCTTCTCTTGCCTAGCGCAGAAATTTCTACCCCTCCCTCAAATGGAAATACAAGTCTGAGGCTTGACCTTGGGTGACCTTGCACATGCCGGGAGAAAAATGCAAACGGCGTCTGTCCTCATTTTGTCTGTAAGGGTAAGAGAGTCTTAAACAGAAAAGCAATAAATACATCATCTCACTATGTCTACTCTTTTCAAGTATCACTTGCTGTAAACATTGGGTTTTTGTGTGTGTGTTTCAACCGCAAGAAATCACAGTGCAGCTGGAACAGAATAGCACTAGCCAGCCGGCATGCCAAGCGACTCAGAAAGCTCCAGCCCAGCTCTGCTTGACTGGGAAAGGTCAGCCAATTGGTTTAGCTCAAATTGCACCTGCAGAAACCTACAATGCACCAATTTCAGTTTAAACCGCACACGACTTCCTTCGTTTCGCCCGCCACAAAAGGCAGAACATTCCTCAGGAACCCGCATGTCGAGCAAACAAAGATCCCGCTGAACGGTGGCACCTGGCTGGAGCTTTGTGTTGAAACAGCATGGAAATCAAAGAGGGGAAAGTTTAAAATCAGATCCTTCCTCCTTCAGCGGTAAGTGGGATTTAAAAAAAATAGATATATCGACACTATATAAATACACAGATAAAGCTGGATTTCAAGACAAAGAGGTCGAATGCTCTGATGGTTTTGCAACTCAGGTAAAGTTCCTTCCGGTGCCTATAATTTACTCAGCTGTTGGCTTTCTTTCCGGCTAAACTGTTATTTTCCTTTGCGTAAAAAGGTTTGGTGCAAACTTGTGCTCATATTTTTGTAAGTTCCCAGGAAGAGGAATAATGGGATTTTCCAAACTTTCCTATTAGCATACGAGTCAGTCCTCTGAATGGCTGAGCCACACACTACAGGAACCTCACATGAGAAAGAGAGAGAGAGAGAAGATTTGGAACTGAACTTTGTTGGCAGAAGTATCTCGGTGGCCACCGTGGTTTTTGTTAAATTTCTTTTTTTTTTCCTTTTTCTTTTTCTAAAAAACCCCCCCCTTTAAATAAAGTTTTCATGATTTCCTAATATACATCACACGGTTTTCATGCAAAGCAGCAGTCATGGAGGCCTCCAGACTTCCTTCTTCCATACATACGACTTGAAGAGTTGATCCATCTGGACCCTATTTGGCTTGGGGATGCATTGTCTTTCTAGCTGTCTGCTCAAACTGGAATCTAAGTGATTTTGAACTCAGTAGGTATCTGGGCCCAGCTCTGCTCCCACCAGAGGAAGTCTCAGTACTTATAGGTGTCCAGTGCCTTCCCTGCTTGTTCTTACTCTTAGTTCCCGAGAGTCTTTGCAGTGACTATTCCCTTCTTGTTGAACCTCGTGTCCTTTCTTCAGCTCTCGATAGACATGGCACCAATGAGCTGCTCTACTTTGTATGCCAAGCGCTGCCTGCGCGCCTGCTCGTCCTGCTCCAGGGCTCCGATGATCTGGTACAAAGCAAGAGAAAAAGAAATCAGCACGAGACGGACAGGTCGAGCAGACAGACAGACACTCGTGGGTGGGCTCGTGGCTCAGTGGGTGTTGATGGCAACAGGCAGCAGCAGTTTCTAGGGTAGGTGCAGTATGCTGACTCTTTTCCTTGGGCAATAGAGTAGCAAGAGCTAATGATCCTGGTGAGACTGAAAGCCTGAAAGCTGGTTAGCATAAAACTCCTGAGCCCATCTGGGTTTGCCCAGCCTTCTCCAGGGACCGGGAGGCTCAAGGCACATTCCCTAGTCCAGGTGCACTTAGCGCTTGGAAGCTGAGCCTGGCCTGATACAGTAAATCCCTCCCTTTAGCTCTTCTCCTCCAAAGAAATGTAAATAATGAAAGACGGAAGTCAGCAGCGAGGGCTGTGCCATCCTGCTACCACACCACTTTGTCAGCCCGCTTGCTGCACAGCGCCGGCGTGATGCCGCCAGTCCCGCTCTGGTGCCTCCGACTCCCTCTCGCCTGTCTCATTCCACATGCAAGATCTGAAATGTGAACCCCTAATCGGAAAATAGCCGTGGCACGGTCCTGCCAATGCATACGTGCAATTAGACGCCCAAAGCCTTCCTTTTAATGGATGTAATTGCAAAATAGCTTCTTCTCGCCCTGCAAATGCAGGGGGAGAACAGATGGTGAGAACTTGGTTTCAAGTGATGCATTCATTAAAGGAGCCCATGCTGCCAGGGATTCTCTGCAAATGCAAGCCTGCTTCCCCGCGCAGTGGGACTCAGGCTGCGCTGGCAGTTCCCAGAAGACACAGGCGTTTTCGAGGAGGTTTGCTGGGTCAGGAGGATTTTCCACTGTGTTAAGGAGCGTGCTGGATTGCATGGGTGTGCCAAAGGTCTGGGATTCTGCATTACCCATGCAATGACAGGCTTTCAGGTCTATAGACTAAAGCCCTCAAGGCACAGACAAGGGTGGGCGGGAAGGAGCCACAGAGAAACCTTCAGCCCTGCTGATTTCCCAGGTGGCTTGGAGGGGAGAGAGGGGAACTCTGTCTCCACCAGTCCTCGCCCTGTCTGCTGGCCCTTGTCTCTTCGGCCGGTCCTGAGAGAGAAACCCCACTCACCTCTTCGCTGTATTTGCTAACGTAGGAGTAGATCTCATTCAGTGCGCTCAGCATGTTGAACTCCGTGGCATGAAGGCGCGACTGCTCTGCGAGGTAAGCGTTCATGTCCTGGTCGCTGATGGCCGGGAGCTTTGCAATGTCAGCGTAATACCTGGGGAAGAGTGAGGCGAGAGTGAGGGAGAGGGAGGATCTGGCCCTCCGCGGGCACAGCGAGACGCTGCTGCCACCGCTGCTCCCAGCCACGTGCTGATGCTGACCTCTCCACCCAGCTCTTGTAGCTGGGGATGTCCTTGGCGTACAGCAGCTTGTTGGAGGGGGAGTCCTTGCCCAGGCGGTGCTCAGAGGTGGAGCAGGAGTCCATGAAGGTCTGGGCCACGACCGAGAGGCAGGCGTCCGTGATGCTGCCCTTGTGGATGTCGAACACAAACTGGGGGTTCTTGATGACGTTCACCCAGAACCGGAGCGGGAGGCTGAGGAAGAGCACAGGAGTAAAGCGCGATCCCAGATCCGAGAGGCAGGAGGGCAGCTTCCCTCCCCCATGCACGTGAGGTGCTTGTTTGCTCTGCAACCCTGGCATGCATGAAGCAGAAGCAATGGCTCTGCGAGTAGGACTGGGCTAACCTCACTACCAAGGGGGGTCTGTTTGTCTTTGACTTCCCGGTGCCTTTGGGACAGACCTTGGCTAGTCTACCCACCTCAGGCCCAGCTTCCTGCAGGCTGGCCCCTGCTCACCCTGTCCTGTGGAGCGACGGCAAAGGGGGCTCGAGCCCAGGGGATGGCAGGAGCCGTCAGTCCCAGCCCCAGTCCTTCAGGTTCGACAGCTGCAGTGGGAAACCTTTGTTGTTCGGCACGGCTTCCTTTCATAGCTTACAACGTGCTGCTTCCAGCATTTTTATCCTAATAACTCCTTCCTCTAAAGCTCTCTGCAAATTGTTTTTAGCTTCCCATCGCCTTGGTGGGGAATCCAGCTTTTGCAGATGCGATGATTAGAGGCTTTTTAAGCCCCAAGGGATTGGGAAGGGGGACGGGGGGTGGGGGGAGAGAAGGGAGGAATACAAAATCTTGCCGGAGCTCCCATGTGTTGAGCTTTTTTCCCAACTCCGAGGGAAATTTCTAACCCACAGAGCTTTTAATCCTAAAATCACAGTGAAGGCAAAGCCGTAATCACACCGGTTGTCTGGAGGACGCGGAATCCGAGCCGCAGTTTGTGTCAGCTGCGCCGGTTCGGAGCGAGCTCTGCTCGCCCACCCCTCTCGCCCTGGCAGAAACCTTCCAGGAGTTGCCAGAAGCATTTGGGAAGGAGCAGCTGCTAACTGAGCTGCCACCTTGGAGAATTAGTGGCGTTTCCCCTGTGACGCTACCATGCCCAGAAGGGCTGGCAGGTAGCCCCACTTCTGTTCCTCTTGGCAGCCTGGCTCAAAGGTGCAAACCTCCCTTGCCTTCTCCAGAGCCCAGCCTTTTCCAAATCCTGATACAGAGGAGAAGCTGGCTTTGTGGTGCTGGCTGTGCATCTCTTATATAGGTCATCTATAAAGGTGCGTGTCTACCTGGCCACCTGGCTGTCTTCAGACTAATACAGCTAACAGCCTCTCTGCTTATGGTTCAAGACACTGCCTGGGAATCAGGTAAACTCCTTGCTCTGCCTTACACCCTTCAAGTTACTGAACTGTGTTTCCCCACCTGCGGTCAGCAAGGCTTGTCTTGCCTATTTGGGTGTTAGCTGCTTGGGGTCTGCATTGTAGCTCTCTCCATGTCCAGCGCCTAGCATTATGCAGCCTCCACCTACTGCTGGCAGACAAATGGGGCCCTGGCACTGAGGAGCTGGAGGCATCTGGAAATTATTGGGGCTGCTCGTGTACCAGAACGAGGAATCAAAGCAGGTGGGAGAAGCCGGCGACAAGCAAAGTTAGTGAGCTGTCATCTGTTTGCCTCTCCTCCCTGCAGCCTTTTGCACTGAAAGCCCCTGTGCTGCATCCCTTGCAGGGTAATGACATGGAAGATGCTATGAAAACCCAGCCCTTGTCTGGACGGTAAGGGGAAGGAGGGTCTCCATACAACCCCACATGCTGTATCTTCGCTTACCCTAGAATAACCTCGGGAAACCACTGGAAGCCGTTAGCAGTTTTCTGGATGCTTCGTGCTCAAGAAAATGACCTGATTTTAAGAGATTAGTGCGGTGCATGGAGCAGGCAGGGAAGGAGCGCTTGGCTTAACTCTCGGCTGTGTTTAAGCTCCGCTTGGCTCTGTCAGTCATGTGGAGACTGAGAGCTGTGAGTTAGACAGCAGGAGGCATCTGCGCAGACCCGGATGGAGTTGCGGTGCAACAGCTCCGTGAGGCTTTCCAAGGCTAAAGCAAGAGCGCGTGGTAGCCCTCAGGGATCCTGGGTCTGGAAGAGCAGGGGTACGGCAGCTCCCGACTCAGGAGCGTGGCTCAAGTGCATCGCTAGCATTGCCTGGGGGACCAAAGCTGCATGACTGGGACAGCAAAGGGTTGCAAGTCTGCTTGGGGACAGCTGATCCAGCATCCTACCAGGGGAGCTTTGAATCCCCTCCTTCCATTGCACCCCACCACAGCCGGGTGGGGAGAGTCACCAGTCCCCACTCCCACCACCATGAAAGCAAACGGGCAGGACTTGTGCCTCCCAGACAAGGGGAAGGGGCCAGGTGTGTGTGAATGACAGCAGGCTGGGGTGAGGTCTGTCCCTGCTCCCGTGTCCCTACCAGTTACTTTTCCAGGTGTGCCTCACGTCCGTGTCGTGGATGCTGTGCTTATCCGCTTGCTCATCCAGGAAGTCGAACATGTACTTGATGGCCAGCGGGAGTGCGCTGCCCCGGTGCACGGTGCTGAACAAGGTCTCAAACAAGTCGTCCACAAACTTCTGCAGCGTACCCTGCCGGGATCAGCACCAAGAGGGTGAGGGGAGGGAGGGAGGCACATGCCCTAGGCAACACGGCAGGAGCGGGCACCAGGCTGTGCTTAGCCTGTAACAGTGGTACAGCTCTACAGCCTGGAGCAATAAGCACGGTCGAGCCCTTACAAGGAAGGTCCAGCTGCACCGCGGAGGAGCTTCTGGTGTACAGCAACCTAGGGACCATGTTCCCGGTGCCCCGCTGCTGCGCCCAGCTGCACTACGTTCATTTTACCTGCTCACCAAAGGGTGACGGGGCTTCATTTGCAAGCTTTGGGGCTCTAGACAGGGGCCATGCCATGCATCCCATCAGACAGATCTATTCAGCTCCCAGGTGCGTGGCACTTACCTTTGTAGCTAGAAGCCTGGTCAGGTAGATCTCGGACACCATCTTGCTGCCTCGATCGCCTTCCTTCTGGTCCCCGTGGTCGTGGTTTTTGACCAAGTGCCAGACCTTCACCCCGCTCTCCAGGTCAGGGGTGATCATGGGTGCCCGAGAGCGGAGGCTGTCGGGGCTGCCCGTGTATCGGAAAGAGGAATCTGAGCAGGTGGGAAGAGAAGCCAGTGATAGGCAAAATTAGTGAGCTGTCACCTCTCTGCCTCTCCTCCGTGGAGCCCTTTGCACCGAGAGCCTCCAGGCTGGATTACTTGCAGGGCAATGAGACGGATTGTCACCAAAAGGCAGCACTGGCCAAAAGCAAATGAAAGAGGAAGGGAAGAAGGTGTCAACTGCAGCTCAGCTTTCCCTCGGAAAGGAGCAAGGTAGGGGCCTAGCTATTTAGGAGACAGGTAGACGGGTGTCTCTGGGCAGATGTGGCTGTACATCTGGGTGAACAAAGCCTTGAAGTGACCACTAGCCCCTGTGGAAAAGACCCTGCTGATGCCATTCCACCAGCTCACTGTGCCGTTGCTGCTACCTTTTAGTTTAAGGGATGCAAAATTCACTGCTGCCTCAACCCTCCCCTGTTGGGGTAGGGAACTACGGCTAGGTGATGACTGCAAGGGTGCCTGCCCCTTGGAGTGCACCCATTGCTTTTGGTGCAACTTTAAAACATGTTGCATAAGCAGCCGCTGCATTTGAGGTGCTTTCCTCAACGTAACTACCACTTTGGAGAGCACGAGCTCCTGACAGCAGCTCACAGCTAATCATATTTAACCAGAAAAGCTGTGTACTGCCCCTCCCGCATAGCCAGCCCATGCGTGCAGCAAGTCAAAATGAAATGGAAACAGCGAAATGCCTCCCAGCAGGGGTGGGTGAACGGGTGGAGGAAGGATCTTCCAACCTGCACAGCATGTGGGAGAACCGCGGGATCAATAAACCAGGTCTGTTGTGATCACAGAGCTCCCTCCAGCCCTTTTTTCTTTCCTACTCAGAATTGGGGGACTCCTCCTAACTCGTCAATACTGCTTCCCCCGATGTGCAACCCTGATGAAGTCGGTGTGATTAGCTACATGCTGGAAGCGAAGCCTGTTTGAAGTGTTTGCAAGACGGGGGCCCTAACGTCGATACTCAGAGCCTCTCACGGCAGCTGCCCGATGCAATCAAAATAGAGGCAGGAGCGGTGTTATTTCTAAAGCCAGTGATTTGCTTCTAGAGACTGGTGTCAAGTTTAACAAAGGATGGAATTAAGCAGTAATTGAGTTAAGCAGCAGGGCAGTGCTGCGCTTATACCTGCCGTGTTCCCAGCCTTTCGGCCCCCACAGCCCTCGCTTTCACCACCTCCCTCCTGGCAGGCAGAAATAGATGCTTCTTTGGAGCATGTAAAAGCTGCTTCATTATTCATCACATCAGGAACTGGTGACTGATGCAAGGTGGGTTAGTTCCCTTGGGAAACGTGCTGGCTTGGTTCTTTCTGCCCTCGACGGGGGGGAGAACATCCTGGCGAGACCCCCAAGTGAGTGCATGGGCCACTCTGTCCTTTCCCTCCTGCAAGAGCTTGCTTTGCAGGGGCCAGCTTAGCCTTCCCACTCTCCACTCACCCTTCCCAGCAAAAGCAACCATCAATCAGCAGAGAGAAATGCACAAGCCATCACAAAACTCGCACAAGTCCCACCGTGATTAATGCTCAGATAAACAGGAGCGCTCCAGCCAATGCGAGGGGGGGGGGGATCGGCTAGGGAAGCATCTAGCAATTCTATTTTTAAACCCGGCTCTGTGCTGATATACAGCGGAGAAAGTAAATCTGCAATGCTCATTTGCATGTCGTGTGCACAATTAGAAGTATTTATCTTAACTTGAGCCATGATGGCGCAAATGCTCGCAAATGCTTGTTTTGTCTGATGCTGATGAATGCGTGGTTGACGCTAGGCGCTGGTGTCTTGTCCCCCCAAGCTGGGTCGTTTTTTTGCCTGGAGAACAAGTGGAACTGGACTCTGGCCTGGATTTTGTGCTTTTAGTGGCCAGATGATCCTTGTGAGGGTGCGTGGATCCAAGAGGCTGTTTGGCTGCACAGCACGTGGATGCTCTTCGGCTCTCAGCTGATAGCCCATGGAATAAACATTTGAAACAAGAAGCTGGGATCCATCGGCGCTCAGTCTGTGGGGCAGTGGGCTGTAGAGCGAAAGACCTTAAAATTCATGGTGCTTGGGATTTCTTTCTGTGCTCTGTGGAGGCAGATGATTACTCTGGGGTATACAGCACCTGAAATGAGGGCCTAGCACCTACCAGAGCCATGACTTCTGACCACACTTTCTTCTATTCAAGCTTGCACCCGGCTATGCAAATGATTTCCTGTGCCGTGGTGAGTGAATCAGTGCATGTGTGTCAAGGCTACACAAATCTGTTAGCTCAGATGTCAGCTGTTCAACCTAAGAAGAGAAATGGTTCATGGAGCCGCGTGCTCCTTTGATGCCACCCTGTTTATTGACCATGACCATGGAAAGTCCTGTTTCCTGGAATGAGATGGGTTCTTTGCTTGCAGCTTCAACCCCCTTTCAGCTAATCTCTTCCCCAAAATCCTTTACTTGAGGCTTTTCTCAAGGTCTTGCTTCCAGTCCTGCATGATGCTTTCTTGCTGCCTCCCCTCTTAGCTTTGCTGGTCTTTCGTGCTGCTTTTTTTCTGGAAAGATTCATGCATGTCCCTGTTTGAGGTGGAGGATATTACTCCAAGCCTCTGGTTTCATACAGGAGCTTAATAATGTTTTACAACTTTTTTGAATGAAGAGCAGTGGTTACACTAACCCCTGAACAAAACTGCCCTGTCTTGGCTCTCTCTGTTATCCCAAAGGAGCTTTTGAATGGTAGTCTGGCCATCCAGACAGAACAAGAAAAGAAAGAAGTTGACGTATTATAAATGATGTTGTCTGAATCTTTTATGCATTGAGATAGTGTCTTTCTGATAGGATGCATTCACATCACCAACCTCAACCAATTTTAATCCTATCTGCTGTTTTTGGGGTTGCCTCCTCTCCCTCCTTGTGACCAGTTTTCTTTCTCCCTGAGACCGGCAAGCTGTTGCGAGAGGATGCCACGCTCCTGGGTGCCTGGGTTTGCCAGCTGAGTTTCCAGTCAAACACACTGCTGATCCGAGGGTTTTCCCTCTGGGAAGCTTGTCATTGCCACAGCGTCCATTCCCTCAAGAACACGTCCGCCGTTCCAGCAGATGAGCTGCAACATTTGCCCTTTTGCAAATTATGGGAGGAAAGGAGACAATCACTTCTTCTGAGTTTGTGCGCTCCCCGGAGAATACATTTCCTTGCTCTCCTGCTTAGGGCAGTATTTGCAATTAGCCTTCCAACAAAGCTATCTCGACAAGGTCCTGCAGTCCTGCTAGCCCCCCGGCAACTTGTGTCCCAGTATTCCCCAGTTTAAAGAGTCATTGCCAGGATCTATGACCTTAGCGAACTACAGACTTTCTCCTATATCAATAGCTGCCAGACGGTTCAGTACATTTAACTACCACCAAAATGCCTTATGATGATACAATCCTCTCTGTCCGGAGAATGTAGACTTTTGCTGTAATAAATCATTTCTTTCTCAAGATCTTTGAGGTCTTGTGTCACGCTGCCTCCAACCCGTAAGCATGAGCACCCGTGTCCATTGTAGAATGAGATTCGAAACCTGGGTGGCTGTGACAGGGCATTGTGGGTGCCTGCCACTTTAAGGGCTGAGCCAAGCAGCCAGCAGGTGCTTGATTGCGGCGGCCATTTTAGAACTCTGGTCGCCTATATAAACGGGGCAGTTCCCTGCGGGCAGGCTAAGTAGAAGCATGGCTTGGTTGTAAGGGTGAATGCAACATCCTGGAGGTAAGAGTGGGAGTTTAAGGGGATGCTTTGGAGGCTCCTGGGCATGACCTAAAACTGCACCCTGCTGGGAGTGGGTGGCCTGGTTGGGCTCCGAGTGGTGTGGGAGTCTCCAGGAAATACCAGGCCAGTGACCACCACAGTGAAAGGTGGGTTGGGGTGCCTTAATAACCCCAGCTCCCACAACTAGGTGGGCTACCCCATTGTAGAGCCAAGAAAGTGGACCCAGATTTGGGAGTGGGCTAGAGGTTCAGAAGCCTGACTTGAAACACCCTCAAGTGTTTGATGCTAGGGTAGGGACCAGAAGGGTCAAAAGGGCCAGGGGCCCACTGTGAGGGATGCCTAGAGCTGAGGGCCTGGGGTTTCCAACTCGACTTGGAGGTGAGGCCAAAGGTCCTGGGGGGACCATGCCCGAGAGGGGGGAGATGTCAGGGAGCGAAGCAGCCCAGAATGAGGGTGGAGTAGGCTGCCTGATTGGAGGGATCCAGTTGGCGTCTGGACTGGAGGATTGTGGGGCCCGTGATGTTAAGCACTGTGGATGCTATCTGTGAGACTTGGGCTGCAATGTAGGAGGGGAATGGAGCTGTAGTTAGCGCCCCCTGGCACTGGGGCAAGAATGGGCAGCCTACTGCCTTGTTAACAACATAATTATGTAATAACAAGGCATGGCAGAAGAGGAGGTGGGTGGTTGGCCCAGAAAAAGGTGGGTGGGTCAATGGTAGATGGGCCCTGAGAGCACCCCCTGTTACAGTGCCCCAAAACAGAAGCAGTTGTGAGTCTTTTTCAGCTCTGAAAATGCTAAATTGGATTTTGTTGGCCAATGAAATATTTCCCTTTCTGGGTCAACCCAGATACTTTGCAGTGTTGGCAACCCACCAAGGAAACTTCCTAGAACAGTAGCAGAGTCCTACATCTAGGACTGTGAGAAGAGTTGGCCAGTTGTGGATGGCTCTCATTTTCTTGGCATTTGTGGAAATTTCCCCTTGACTGATTGTGCACCCAAAGGCAAACTGCCTTTTTTTCCTCTATTCCTTCACTTTGATTCCTATTTAGCTCTTTACACACCACTTGTGAATATATCTTGCATGGAGGCATCAGGGTGTCCCCTAGTGATGACCAACAGGCTGAAGACACTAGGCCAGGAAGGCCCTCACTGTTAGCCTTGCAAAGGTGCACTGCAGAAACTGAGACACTCACTTTAAATTGCCATGGGCCTTGTCCAGTTGTGGAAGCAGGTTTCCACTGCCCCGCTCCCTCCTGTTTTACCCTCTGCTCCATTTATCAGTGTCCATTTGTAAGATCTAATAAACCAGATCGAACCTCCTGTAGGTTTCAGTTGCCACTGGACAAGAAGCTTTTAAAATAACGTTGTTTAGGGTAGGGGTGTGTTGGTGGTTTTTGTTGCTGTTTCCTTTTCAGCTTCCTTGGCCTCTTCTGCTTTTATTCTCATGAGCCAATGTGCGTTCACAAAGCAGAAGCGCCTCTGCCCACAAGTGCATGTCGGGGGTGATGAGATGTGCCTGGTTTTGGTTCAGTTCTCTGGTTCTACAACAGCGCTGAACTGTTTCTTACCTGCTATCTGTAAGGGAAGGCAGTGGCTATGTTTGCCCCATCAAAAATGTGCTCTCATTTGAAAGGAGGGAAACCATGAGCTGCAACCTAATCAAGTTGTTTAATTAATGACTCCAGGCTCTAATCTGAAGATGATTCTAGCAGTGGAATAGTCAGGTCACTGTCCGGGAGCCATCCCTTCCCAGCACCCAACTCTGCTCCTTACCGTATCTACTAATGGAGGTTCGGGATATGCTGGCAGAGGCAGGGATGTTGTAGGAGGAGGTCTGCTTGGGAACGAGGGCCACGACGGAGCGATCGGACACCTGAGGAGGCAGAAAAAGGGAACAGTGAGATTAAGGCCCTGAATAGGTGTGGGTATGGATGCCACCTCCAGGACTTTGAATGCTGCCCTTCTACAGCTGCATGCAGTGCAAGCACAGACAGTTGGAAGGCAGATTTTGCAGGAAGCTTCTGAAGTTACACTGTTTATTAGGACAAGGCTGAAAATAATTTTGCTGGCCTGGTCTGTGTTCTTTGCATGAGAGAGATCTTTTTAAGCTTGTTGATTCCCCTGCTGAGTCCAAGCTAGCTTAGGTCCGAGCTCCTAAAGGAGCAGGCTGATAAATGAAAAGACATATTGAAGACATTTTTGGTTATTTTGATTTAAGATTATATTTTATCCAATAAAAACAGAGGATCCTGAGAATTGTTGCGATCCAATTAAAGTAATAACGCAAAGGGAATAAAACAGCTATAATAATGTTATGGACCATAAAACATTCCTATTAAACCATTTTTTATTTTAACAATTTTTATGAACTTTAAAAGTTTGATTTACCGCCGAACGAGTCATAAAACCATCTTTCAGGGCCTTAAATTGTCAGTCCCTCTATTACACCAAAAAAAGGGGATTAAATGCTGGCAAGTCAAACTATAAATGAACATTAGTGCTAACGAGATACTGTTATAGCAGGTTTTAGTGGCAGTGTGTAATTTTACCCTCCCTGTAAATCTAAGAGTCATTGGAAGTTTTTAACTTATCTTCATTAATTAAGAATCTGCAGATTTCCTTTGAACAGACTTTGGCATTTTAATTCTGCACTAATAGCCCCATGGTGCACTGTGGCCAGGGAGCAGGAAAGCGAGAGCTACAGTAACTTCAGGTTAAGGCACGGCCTGGGATGTGGCAAGTGAGTTACTTAGAGAAAGGCATTACATAAAAGAAATGTCTCCTCGCCCCCCATTGTCTGTCCCCTGGCTCTAAATCCTCAGTAATTTGCTAGCAGGGAGCACTATTGCCCTATTGCACACACATGGGAGCTGCTCTGGGCAGAGGCTGTGAAGGACAGTATCGTCTCTAAGCTTTCTCTTGTCCCTCAGTGCTCTGCTATCAATTCTCTAACAGCAGCACTAAAACCTATCCCACTCTGACCAGGCCAGACTATCTCGGTCTCGTACCTCCCAAAAGAGCTCTTCATCTTAGTTCTTCCATCCTCTTCCCACTTCCACTTCTCTGCAGCGCTGGGCATGCTACTTCTTCCCTGATCAATCCCCTCTCTGCTCCCTTTTCCCCTCATGCATCCAGGCTCTCTAAAACTGCTCTATGCAAAATCTGTTCCTTCAATACTATTCCTGCAGCCAAAACATCCTGCTCACTTCCCCTTCCTTTCTTGCCTCTTTGGCACCCTATTCTCTCCTCTCCAGCCTGTCCCGGGTGGAGCTGCTACAATTTCCTTCATCCCTGCTTGGTCCGCATCATTCATTTCTTTGAAACTAGCCATTTGCTGCCCATCACCTGAAGTCCAAACTCCGTCTGATCTTCAAGGTCTTTGGGTCCAACCTGTCTTGGATCATACCTTTCATTGTACCACCCTGCCTTTCTCTAGCCAAAAACATCAGCCTTTCTCCCATTCTGGTCCATCTATGTGCTGGTCTCCCAGTTCCATGGAACAGCATCCTGATATGGATATGCCAAGCCCTTCTTCATCTAAACCCTCCTGAAGTTTGCAAGCTGGCAACAAGCATAACCTCAGGGGAGATGTGACCATCATGTCTCAGGGCAACTAAGCATCTCCTGCTTGCATAGTGGAGCCCTGGTCCCTGACTGTAGGCTGAACATGACCTGTAGGACAAATAACAAAGATGATGCATGCTGGCTTTGATAAGACCGAAAACCTTGCTTCTGCTCGGCTCTTCTGCTGAATAGATGAGAAGTCACAGCAGTATGGGAGCCAAAGGCCAAGTGGGACAACTACCCTAAAATCCTCCTGCCCCTTCAACTGCAGGCAGATCAAACAAGTGTTGCCAGTGCAAAGCAGCTGGCGCGCTCCACCTTGGCAAATGGAGACTGAGCGCTAACATGTAATGGGCTCTAAAATTCTTAGTGATCCTTTAGGATGAAAGGTGCTGGGTAAATTTAAGTTGTTATTATTATTAATAATAATAATAATAATAAGGACTCCTGTTACACACAGCTAGAATGAGACATTTCTATTTGGCTGAGTACAACACTTCGCACCCCTGTTATTTCCTCCTCTGTCCCTGCCTCACTTCACCCAATTTATTAAGTCAATGGAAGAAACGATCAGTAGTGATATTATTTTCTTAGGCTGTTATTAGCTGCCACTTTGGTTTAATTTCACTAAGGTGAAATCTAAGTATTCCAGCGCATGGAATACAAAGGCAGCTTCGGGTCTGTACATGCAGAAGCAATGATTCCCAGGCCGCTGAGGCTGGATACAGTTTCAGCAGAGCCACAGTTTAACTAGGAGAGAAGTATTAAAAATTCCAAACACATCGAGTGTTCTCGCTTGCTAAAGTTTGGCTCGGATGACTTGTCAGCTAAGAAGCACTAGTGTACAGATTAGCATCAGCTGGAACATGCATGCCTTTCCAGTCTCACCCCATTGTTGCCATGCTTCCATGAGCCCTAGAGACGTGTGAGAAGCTGGCTGACTTTTAGTACAACTTTATAAATATTCTGGTTGCCTTGCTTCCCCCACGTGCTGTGGAACACCTTTTAAAAAACACAGGATGAAAGATGGAGAGGGGGGAACAGCAGACAAGAGGTCCAGCTAATACTCTCTTGGTTAACATGGCCCATTGAGGATACTGGCTATGCTCCACGACTCCAGGTGTGGGGCTCAATAGCCGAACCCGTCTAGGTGGCTGGGACTCCATACAGACCTTTCCTTGCTGCTGCTTATTAGTCATTTAAGAGTTTTCTAACTTCTCAGCCTTTCCAGTCTCTGGCTGACAGCTCGTCATGGTTTACTGCCTCTCAGTTAACTCTACACATGCCATTGCATTGCTCTTGCATTTTAAATTCAGTACTTAACTTATTTCTTGGGGAAAGCTGGGCATGGACATCCTATAGAGCTAAATGGGGATGAAACCAACAGGACTGCACTGAAATGTAATATGATTTCAAGCAAATTATTCTAAATGCTGTATAGAAGGCAGCAGAGAATGAGCCCTGTTCCACAGGTCTGTTTATGCTCAGTGGAAACCTGTAGCAGGTCTATATTTCTCTGTTCAGTAACATAAGGCAGTTAAAAAATCCACTGAAAAGTGCTGATTTCCTCTTGCATCCTTTTTGGCTTGTCCACAAAGGATGGAATATGAAAAACCAATTCCTGGCTGGACTAGACGTACCCGTATCAGCGGCTCCTGCTGCACATGTTACTATCTTATCATGTAAATGTAAAAAAAGCAAAAATCCTGCCCCAAGGAGCTGCCAAAAAGATGTGGGATTAAGAGAGAGACGGGGAATTAAATCATCATCCTAATGCCAGATAATTGCTTGCCCAGCTATCACCTGCAGCCGTAGTGCCCTAGGGTAGGGTCATGCTCAGCAGGATAAGGTAGGATTAGTCCTGTGATGGGAGATGGCTGCAGGAGGCTTGGGCACTACAGGGTGCATGCACTGAATCCACGGCATCTCCATCTGGGTCGGGGCTCTGCGCTAAGGGGGTCGGTGCTGTCGTATAGGTGACAAGACAGTAAGGTTTAGCCCACAGGCTTTCACTGTCATGTGTGGATTTGGAGGGTGATAGCCCCTCCTGGGCTCCTCTCTTCTTTACTGGTGGCAGCACAGCCCTCCCTGCATACTGTGTCCCTCTCATGAGCTCTGCTGGCATTTTTAATTTAGTCCTCTTTCAACTCTGGTAGTTTCTATAAGAGCTATGTCGGAGTCACTTCCCTGTCTATGCATGAGCACCTTCAACCAGCCTGGCTTATGGCAGGGACGTGACCTCCCTGTCTCATCAGATGAGACACCAAGGAATTAATTTCTGCTTTCCTTCCCCTTGCATGCTCTGGGAGATCTGCACCTGGGGGGGGTTTCGTCTTACCTGATAATGCACCAGCGTGTTCAGTCGCTTCCAGTCGCCCTCTATTTTGGTGGTGATATCTTCATCCTGCAGGACTACCCGAGCTATCCGTCCCTGGCGCCACTCTGCAGGGGCGGGAAACGCAGGGTGACACAGCAGTTGGGGGGGTATTGGCATCAGCTTTTTCCCTCTGCTTCCAACCTCGGGAGATAGAGATGCTCGAGGCATAAGCCTGGAGTAAAGGGCACTGTGGCTACTGGGCACAAAGGAGCAGGCACTGGGAACCAGGTGCCTGATCATGTGATGAACTGAGCCTTGATTCAGCCAAGGATACAGGTGCTCTGGGGTGGGGACTCCCCTGTGCCACATACTTATGTCGGTTTTAACTTCTGACTGTTTGGCTTGTGAGCAGCCTCACCTGTGACGTACCTCTGGTCTAAGCAGGGTTGAATTCTGCTCTCATTTCCACCAAGGACAGTAGGTCCTTGGAGCTGTGAGCAGCCTTTTTCCCATAGGGCTGGAAAATTTACCATGATGGGGGTGGGGAGGAAAGGAGGCTATCTGACCCAAGGCAGAGATCCCTCTGCAGTGCTAGTGCACATAGCTGGCTGGCTGCAGGGGCCGTGCTTGGCAGGGCTTGGAGGGGTCACTTGCTCCCTGGACAATAGCTCTATTTTTTTGGGGAGCCACAAATGACCCAGGTTAACTGGGGCTATAAAGTGCAAAGATTGGTGCAGTGAAAGAGTTGGTGTTGGTGCTTGCTCTGGCATGAGTCAATGGGGCAGGTGGTGTGCAAGTGTAAGGAAGGCGTCCCTGTGCAGAGCCTGGATCCAGCCAGGGCTGTCGGCCTCCTTAAAGCTTGTCTAAGAACTGGCATAGCCCTGGCTGTCCATCTCATCCTCCCCACTCCCACAGGGCAGAGACCCCTACCTAGGTCCATGTCGACAGCCCTCGGCCGTTGGGAGTACGGGACGTTCTTGTACACGGCATCCAGGATCTTCTCCTTGACTTGAGTGATGGTGTCACAGTTCAGCACCTTCACTGGGATCTCTGGGCTGTTCTCATTATCGGGGTTCACACAGTTCAGGATCTAGAAGAGAATGGCTTGAATGGCTCTTGGCTGGGGGGGGGGAGGCTTTGACAGACAGCTCACAGAGCAGCGACGGCCTTCACCCTCGGGCAAGACTCCCCACCAACACGGAGGTCCTGCCTAATGCTGTGGGCACCACCTGTGTATCACTGCTGTTGCCTTTGGGAAGCTCATTAAATTAAGAGCTTATGTTCCAGGCATATAGAAATAAAGGTATACAGCTAAAAAGGGTTACAGACATCTATGATCCCACACATGAAGCCTTTTTTTTTCTTTTTAAACCTCAGCAGACAGGGCTGTGCACACAATCTGCATATGCAAATCATGGCAAACACTTAACTGTGTACTAACTAACCCCTGAGGCTTTCTGCTTGGACTCGGTGCCATGGGAATTGGCATCCCACAGCTTACCTCCCATTCAAGAGTTGGGGCCTGAATACTGGAGATGGGGTCAGAGAGCTGAGAGTTTGGGTCATAAAGCCATGTGTTTCCTGCTTGTGGGTGGGAAGAAGGATTGAGACTGCTCTGCAGCAGCTAGCTCCATGCTGGGGGTGCCAGTGCAGTGCATGTGCAGCTCTCCAAGCTGGATGGGATCTTCCCAGCAAAATGGTGTTTTCACTGGAAAATGAGGAATCATTGAACTAAAGCTTTTCATAGGGACCAGCCTGTTTCAATGCAATTTGCACTGGGAAGGTTTTAGGGGCTGCTCAGAACCAGGGTGAGGGAGAGACCCTGCAGCAACTGGGAGCTCAATGCTGCAGCAGGAGCCCACTGAAGCAGGGACCCGGACCTTGTCTTGCACATCACAGGTGAGTGCCCTAACCACTGGGCCCTCCAGCCATCCTGTCTGCAGCCCAGGCAATAAGTGGGTGTTTGCAGAGCTCTCCTAGGAGGGGACAGCTGCTTCCCACCCACCTCTGACTACCTAGCCCAGTTCCTTCCTGAGTCCTGGTGGGATGTTTGGAGCTGGAGCTTATGTGAATATAGTTTCAACGGGGCCTTGCCAAAAGCCACTCACCAGAGTCTTGTACTCGATCTGCTGCCGGATCAGCTTGTCCTCGCTCAGGGAGTAGCGCGCCTCCCCCGTGATGGCGTCGATCGGGCCCTTCTCCATCTGCTGCTTGATGGCGCAGTACAACATGAAGAGGGGCTCCCCAGCACATTCCTATTGCACAGAGCACATGGCAAACCCCGGAGGCAGGTGAGGGTGCGCCTTCCCCAGGGCCTGGACTTTGCAAACACGCATGCACAATCAACTTCCAGCCTCATCTTGCTGCCTTAACCCTCAAATGCATGTGTGAGCCAGGCTCAGGGCCTTGGGCACCCCTGGGAGAGAACAGCCAGAACCAGGCTCCCCCCGACTGTGCTTGGGGTGGTTGTTGTCTTTGGCTTAGTAAGTGCTCCCTGCCTTTGCACTGCTGGAAAGCAGGAATCTGACAGTCCGGGTCTCCTCGGTCATTTCCATGCAGCTAGTTTCACAGAGCTTCCAAAAACAAGCACGGCTTTAACCAAATATTTATTGTAACTGGGGTGGGAAGAGGAAGTGATAATTGCCTGTAAGTACCAAACAGCTGCAAGCACCCAGGGGGTGATGGACTGATTGGGCTATTCCAGGGGGTCCAGGGAGGTGAAATGGGGTGAAACCAAGTGAAGGGAACTGAGATGGAAGAGCAGGAAACCTTCCCAGGCAGGGAGGTCCATTAGCCTGTGAATAGTGCCTAGGGGAGGTAGCAGGAGCTCTGTTACTTGAGGTGTTTCAGGCTATGCTGAGCAGAGTAGCGGCGGGCGTAGTGCTATGCAGCACTGCCCTGGTGGGGCCAGCATAAGCCAAGCAAGTCTTCTGGAGGGAAGGAAGGGCCCTATACAAGGAGCCCATGAGAGTGTTCACTGCTTTCATCCGGCTGGGTGGAGGCTAGGATAAGGTGCATCAGGCGTGTGTTGTGCACACGGTATTTCCAGAGCTCAGGGCTGACCAAGGGCAAGCATGGTGGCTATCACCTTAGATGTGGTTGGTTTAACTATAGCTCCACACCTGCATGGTTCAGATTCAACCACTAGCCCTGCAACTAGGATGGTAGAAAATATGAGGGTTGCAAGGGACCTCAACAGGTCATGTCTAGTCAAAGCAGGACCAGCCCCAGCTACCTTATTCCAGCCAGAGAAACTGAGTCACCCTTTTTTTTGCATCTTGCTAGATGCTTTCGAAGCCAAGCTCCCCACCAGGGTCCATGGAGACAGCAAAGACTGAACAATGGAAGATGCTTTGTCTACCCCTTACCTTTAAAAACTTGTGGAGAAGGAAGGCAAACCAGTTGGTCAACATCTTCTCAGCCACGGACTCTGTCCTGGAAAGAGAAAGGAGGGTGCTTTATCCTGTGCATGTAAGAATACCAGCCCAGGCAGGTCCCTATCATTGCACTAGTGCAGGGGGCTGGGAAGAGAAACTACCCACAGGCAGGAGAGGAACAGCTCACTCTCCCATCCAAAGGGAGTAAGAGGTAATGGGAATGCATTATTAAGCCATGACAATAGCAGCATTTCTGTCCCTTCCTTGGCATCTGGTGGCATGACCCACTCTCAGGCCCAATTTCTGCATGTGCTAGGATGATTTGGAGCAGGAGTCAACCATACTGCTGAGGTTGTGCGATGGGGACTCTGGCCTCAGCACCCCTAGGACTGACCCCCACCCGCATGTCATTGGCAATCGTATGCAGATTGCTTAGGAACAGTGAGGAACAAAGCCCAGCTGACAGTCCGTCACAAGCCCCTCTGACAGGGATGCCTGGTGGCACTTTAGCTCCTTGCACGTGGTGCAAATTATACCCTGCGGCTCTGAAAATCACTGGAATTTGCCGTGGTTGCTGGCAATCAGGGACAGCAGAGTGACAATGGCTGGGAAATTGCAGCTTTCTCCCCGGCCCCACCCAGCATTCTCTCCCCACATTGTGCTGGAGATTATCTCTAATTTAAATACAATGGCTCCTAATGATAGTTTTTAATGCTGGCTCCGCAGGATTGCTGGTGTCTCTTTAAAGTGATGCTGTCCCTTTTTTTTCCTGGGATGGGGGGTGGGGGACAGTCTCTTGACAGCTGGTGGCAGGGTGAGGAGCCCCCTGGTCACCACCCAGTTCTGGAGGTGCTCAGCAATGGCTGTCAGGCAGGCTCCGGAGAGCAGTTGCTGCGTGTGTCGAAGCAGATCGGTGGACAAGCATGTTTCCTTTGTTACCAACCAGCTGTGCTAGCTGGGAACATGCTGCATGCCAGGCCCTCCTTGACGGTCCAGCTCTCTCTGCCCTAGGGCTCTCCTGATCCTGGCAGGCCTCTCAGGCTGGGTTTCATATTGGGAGTTAGCTCCAGTTTTGCTGACCGATGACAGTGCCCACTCCACCCAGCAAATCCTGGTTTCCCAGTCTATGCTGCACTGGGATAGCTGGCCAGGTCTAGCAATGGGAGGCCAGTCCTCAGTACAGACCATCTGCAGCCCGTTGTTACTGCCTGCCATGCTGGGGGCATCGGGGCAAACCCAACTCCAGGCATCTTCTGATGTTTAAAGCACCATGTTGTCAAACTATTTAGGAAAGGGTCTGCTTGGGGCAGGAGATAGCTGGGTGGCAGTCATCAGTGCCTGGATTTGTGCTCATGCCCTCACTCCATCTGTCCTGCCTAGGTATGAACTCTTTGGGTCAGGGCATGCCTCTTGCTATGCATTGTACAGCACCAAGCACACAGTCTGTTACAATACAATGGACAATATATTACAGCAGCAGTAATGTTATAGGGGTTGCATGCACAGCTAAGCGGGTTGGAGGGTAAATAACAGTTGCAGTTTCACCAGTGTTTCAGTAAGCAAAAAAAAAGGAAAAACGATAGTGAGTTGAATGTGCTCAGCTACCCAGACTCGTGTTATCCACTGTTTATCAGCACCTGGACATTGGCCCAGTATTTGCAAAAGTGTCAGCAAATCCCAGAAGAATGTAAGCCTGTATTGATTAGCTGTCTGGCGATACAAACTGGAAGTTGTCATATTCACTATTCTGCTGTTTATACTATTTCAGTCATCCAATTAGGGTAGAGAAACAAGAGCACGTGGCTGAGGTGACGCATCACAACAGATGGAGAACCACTAGGAGTCTGAGAGTTGTTTGTCTAGACTCTTTGTGAATATTAAGGTGATGGAAGAAATCAAGATCAAATGTGAAGAGCTTGCTAACTAATGTTAGAACAAATGGTGCAACCAGCTCTTCTTGCTCCTTGCTGTGTTGCAATGACCTTAATATATTAGCCTTGCCTGAAATGCAGTTGTGTAGGCTTCTTTCTTTCTACCATCTACCCCTGCCAGGGGTTGGCCCTGGGAGCAAACCCATGCTTGAACCCTGGCAAACACCTGTGGCTAACACGTTGCACTTATAAATGCTAAGAGTTGAGGGGCAATGGGGACAAAGAGCATCTCCCACTGATCATGCCCAGCACAGCCTAGCATCCAGCTGTCTCCATTGGCACATTCACAGTGAAGCCATTGCTGCAGATGGCATTAACAGTTAAAGGTGGCAATCCAAGTCCTTCCTTAGCCGAAGTAAAGAGACAGCTTCCATCCTTCATCATGGTGCTGCAGACAGCATAGCTCCTTGTGAGCAATGGCCAGGGGTGCATCTTTGCCCTGCTCTCCTGTACCAGGGCTAGTCTCTGAAATGGGATCTGTGCTGGAGGTCTTGCCCAGCCAGCCCTCCAGCTCCATCCGCCATGCTCTGGCGTGACCTCCCCTGCTCCCCGTGACACGAGATGGGGCCGCTGAGCTGTAGAAAACAGCTCCTTCAGCGTGCTGCACCGGCTCCTCAGCAGGTATCGTTTCTGCTCTGCGGTTGTGGTGTCTGAGACGCCGTTATAGATCTGTCTCTGAAAAAATAAAATAAGCTCCTGAAGATGAAAGCAGCAAGGACAATCCCCAGACTCGGAGAAAACCCTTTTCATATTGACCACATAACGAGGGCAAAGTACACTCTGGAGACAACTTTCCGAAAGAGCCTGACGCCAGAAACCAAAGCCCTTGGCTGCTCTTCTGGCTCACCAGGGCCCCGGGAATAAAACAAAACTAAACAGAGCTGGGAGAGCCCAAAAATCAATATGGATTTTATTAATTTTCCCTTGCTTTGTCTGGGTCTCTGAACCACTGCATGCTCCTTATGGCAGCAACAAGCGCAGTCATTTGATTTAATGTCAGCTTTCCTCCCGTCTCCCGAGAGAGGTTGGAAAGGAGAGAGGGAGAACGAGAGGAAGAAAGAGAGAAAGCATTGAACACCAATTAGCAGTTGCTGCCACCAGAGAGCTCAGAAAATAAAATAAAATAAAATAAAATAAAATAATCTCTCACTTTGTGGCTGCTCATTCATTATTAACTCGGAACAAAATGTTCCAGCTCGGAGTATTTTGCATACTAACTCATACCAAGAAGCGCACAGATCCACGGGGTTGGAAAAGGCCTTGTTTGTAAGGTTTCCAGCTGAAATGCCTGGATCTTCATGCAGCAAAGGCAAGTTGGCTCTAGCAGCCTGGCACAAGAAGCTGGAAAAGTTTCATGTTCCCTCTCCAGAGAGGCCTCAGGGGACCAGCTGTCTTGGAGCACGAGGTGGGGGAGTACCAGACTCTGGGGAGGACGCAGACCCACAGCATCTTCAGAAATCTTCCCTCCAGCGCAGCTCTGTGCTGTGCACTGGCTTCAAGGCTCCAGGCTTTCCTCACCTGTCTTGTCTTGCCCTGCCCAGAACATCTTTTGATAACTTAAGAGTGAAAATGGTGGGGGCAGGTCCATGCTGGTGCTCTTGGCATTGCTCATCTCGGTGATGCTGCCCCAATGGCAGGAGAATTTTAAAAAATTCGCAGATTGAACTGAGGAGCCAGTAGCCAGCCTCCACTGACGTCCCTTGGGCTACTCCTGGCCAACATCAACATAGCTCAAAGGAGAGCTGGGCCCTTCCTGTCCATGCATGTCTGGCAGGATGAAGTCTCGGTTTCAAGGGTCTCTTCAATGGGTTGCAGACCTGCAGATCCATGCATGTGTTCTGTGCTTGAAGTCTGGACTTGCCACATATCCCCTTTCACCCATGGCCTTAAGCTGCTGTGCAACAATTTGCATTTGCAAAGACTCTGGTAATGCCAGGGGGTGAGGATGATCAAATTAAAAGCAAATTTGAATGGCTGACAATGAAGACTCTTTGGGTTCATTTGGTCTCCTTGTGTCATCCGCCAGATTTGGGAGGATAATTCACAGAGCTAATCCACAGCTAATCGTTTCTGATTAAATGCCGTCAATAGCCACCTCCTTCCGCCCCACTGTCAGGCTCCTGCTACTCAAGTGCTGCTGCTGCCAGGGAGACCTCTCCCCACTGCCTCGGCGCACGCTGCAGCGTTACCACCTGCCCCGAGCCCCAGCACCAGGGGCAAGTGGGGCCAGAGCCCCTCCGTGTAGGGCAGGCTCCCTCGTGCAGCAGGAGCAGGGCTGGGCATTGGGGCAGCTCAGCCCCAGCCCTGCAAATCGTATTTGGAATAACGGACCATATAATTATAGCTAGGCTAGAAATTGGCTCCAGCGTAGCAGGGAGATTACCTGGGAATTTACTGCTCCTTGCTTTCCCTTGGGCCAGCAATGATCTTTCACACAAGCACTTGTGAGTATGTATGTGCAAGCATGTCTGTGTGTGTGTGCACTTGCATGCACACTCCTGCTACCATTCACAAACACAGGGAGCATAAATCCCTCCTCCTCCCTTTCACCCCTGAGGCTGGAGTGACACAGAGGAGAGTGGGCAGTGCCCTCATGAGCCTGCTCTTTAGTAGGAAAACACTAACCGCATGTTCGCATGGCAGTGAAAAGAGAGGAGACATGGTATATGCCCCTTTACATGACCAGATGGCGGGAGCCAGTAGGGGCCAAGCAGCCCAATTCAGAAACATGGAAGACAAGGGGCTCCCTACTCTCCCCGTGGGCTTTTTCTAGCACCCAAGGTGCATGGCAGCTAAAGCAGACAGAGGCATGGGGTCTCCTGTCATCATGTATATTCACATATTTCACTTAAAAATCTGGTTGCACAGAGGACAGTAGAGACCCATCTCTGGGCAGGTCAGGGCCAGGCTGCACTGACTCAAAGGATTGGCAATAGGATATTGAACCATCCCTTATTCAAATGGGGCTCAGGGTGGTGCCCCATTGGACTAATATGCATGTCAGGATTTAGCCCGGGCAGGCAGAGGACATTCAGCTCTCAGCCTCTTGCAACCGAAGAGCTACATGAAGGGCTGGATGCATTATCTAAGGGAGAAGATCATTCCTTTCTGGCTCAGCTCCTCTCCCTGATGGTGCCCAGACCCCAAATTTGAACCCTTTCCATGTCAGGGCTGGGTCCAGCGTCATCTGCTGAGAAACAAAGGAATAACCATATCATGTGGCTCCAAGCAGGGAAGGGGCTGAATGAGATCTATGGCTGGCCACACATGCTCCTTGTGGGTTTGGCCCCTCTTTCTGCCTGGCTTCTCTGGGAATCAGCCCGCGACCGCGCTAGGCTGGCTCTGATGTGGCGCGCCGTCCTAGGACCCGACTCCCGCGGTGGCAGGGGTGGAGAGGAGCGAGGGGGGAGCTGGGCCGGGAGAGTGCTGAGATCATGAGCCCTGTATTTTTAGAGTATAGTGAAAAGTCATTATTGATAGCTCAGGCAGAAGACGCCTTCACAGCGAGTCGTCAAACCACGGGGGAAATTAACACGGCTTCCATTTCTGAGATGAGTTATTGCCTCCGCAAACACGGCCAGATTTAGAGCAATTTCCTGTCAACTACATTCATTATGACTGGAGGAATCCCTGCAAACTTCCTTGAGCCATGAAATTTTCCCCGTGGTGTCTGGCTGCACCCGGCGATGGCTTGGAGCACGGGCTGGCTGGCAGCAGGGCAGTGCCCTCCATCGCAGCAAGGCACTGGGGCACAGCCCAGGGGCCTGCAGAACCACGGGGGCCCCAGGTACCATCGGGGGGAGAACGCAAGACGGCCCCCCGTCTCAACCATGGGTGCAGATTTGGTGGGGGGTAACAAACCCAGGTTTGGTCTCTGCAGCAGATTCCCCGCGTGATCTCAGCTGACCGTTTCATCCAAACGGTGACTCAGTTTCCCAGCTGTAAACAAGGAATGATGGCTCTTTACTAGGCCGAAGGGTCGAAGCGACACAATCCATTAATATCTGCAAGGCACTCGGACACGGCAGCGAGGAAGGCTGTAGAAGAACCTGCCTAAATAGAGCACAGGCCAAATGCTGGAAGCAGCAGGGAGAGAAGGGCGAGGGGTGGACAGTGGTGGACGCGTGGTGTTCATCCTCCTCCTCCCCCTCAGCATCCTCTCCCTGCCACTGAGACACAGGATATTGGGCTAAATGGACCTATCGTCTGACCACGCAAATGGCGGGTCTCATGGACGTGCTTCTCATGATAGATGGCCACAGAGAGGCAAGCCTTTGAGGCGGTCCAGAGCTGCTGTGAGCAGAGATGGGGTCAACCCTGTGTTGCTATCCCTTTGAATCTGCGAGCTATATTTGTCCATGGAGGTTTTTAATGTCTGGCTCGGCACTACCATATCTGCGTGCTGATACACAGGATGCAAAACCAGGCTGGGTATTTACAGACAGATCCCTCGCAGTCCAGGGGGATGATGTATAGGCTCAGGAGAGAAAGGCGCTTACAGTTCTGGGACCTGTTACCCACTGAATCCCTTTCTACCTTTAAAATTAAAAGAAATCATACAGTCCAAAGTTTGTTTTTCATGAGGATTGGCACAAGCTCCTTGGAAAACCCCTGCCATAAAACAAGGCTGGGTATTTACAGACAGATCCCTCGCAGTCCAGGGGGATGATGTATAGGCTCAGGAGAGAAAGGCGCTTACAGTTCTGGGACCTGTTACCCACTGAATCCCTTTCTACCTTTAAAATTAAAAGAAATCATACAGTCCAAAGTTTGTTTTTCATGAGGATTGGCACAAGCTCCTTGGAAAACCCCTGCCATAAAACAGTAACTACTGCAATCAGAAGAGACCTTGCCACCTTGCTTCTGAAATGTTAATTAACTGCAACCATGCAATGAGATGTCTAGAAGGCACAACCTCCAAAGTATGTTTCTAACAGCAACTCAGCCTCTTGTGCCGGGGGTGCCTCTCAGAGCCATCATTAGGGTGCTGTGGTACAACGTGCAAAATCACTGTGGAAGCTGGAATAAAAAGTTCCACAAGTCAGACAGATACCACGGGGCCGTCGGCACTGGCGTCCACACGCAGCCGGGACGACTTGGACACAGCATTTGCCTTCCAGAGTTCGTTAGCTCACATCGCTTCTTCAGTTTGAAGGGCCATCCCCTAGTGAGCACCTGGTCTCAGTCAGATCATACCCTTCTGCTGGGGTTTATTGGAGTGTGTTCCCACCTCCCCACCCCGTCTGGATCAAAAGGTTTCTACTCCACGTGAGCAACTCAGCCAACAGGCGAGTGCCGGGGCAGGGACCTCCCAGTGGTTGTGCTTTCCCCGGCCTGCTGTGATGCCGAACCGTGAAGAGGAGCAGGGTTGTGACCGACGGCGGAGTTACACACACGCTGCATCTGAATGACTTGTGCACCTTCCACATTTAAATGCAACTGGGCCGTGGGATCTGGGACTCAGAATCACAGAAAATGAGGTCAGAAGGGACCTCAGGAGGTCACATCTAGTCCAATCCCTGCTTCAAGCAGGACCAGTCCCAGCTATCTCATCCGAGCCAAGACTTTGTCTATCCGGGTCTTAAACACCTCCAAGGATGGGGACTCCACCACCTCTGTGGGGAGCCTATTCCAATGTTTTACTACCATCCGAGTGAGGAAGTTTTTCCTAATATCCAACCTCAGCCTCCCTTGCTCCAACTTCAGGCCATTGCTCCTTGGATTGTCCCCATTTTGAAATTCCTTTCCTTCTTGCACGTCCCTGCCCCCACTCTCCTGTTTAGCACCCGCTAGCCTTGCCTGCCCAACTGCGGGGTAGTGAAGTAGGAAGACAGGAGGTCTGACACGTGGACGCCCGCCTCACCTCCCGGGTCACCATGCAGCAGGGAAGCTGATGGAGCTGGCCACCTGCAAAGAGAGTGCACGCGGCCTCCACCCGACAAAGAGGAAAATGAATGAATGACAACTCCACTGTCTTCAAGGTGGCCAGGGAAGGGAGGGGAGCTGTCCATGAAGCCCGCCAGGACTAATCCCCCTGCACCCCGACCTCTGGAAATATGGAGTAACACCTACTCATGACCCTGAAGATAGGGGCTAGCCCCCGCAAGTACCGAGCCATATGTTTGAGCTGTCAGCACCTCCGCCATGCCCTCTGTCATTGTCACCTGGGTTGTCCAAGCCATGGCAGCTTTTCAGAGCCCCCCTGCCCCCACTGCAGTTCAGGTTGATCCCCTTGGTACTCAAGAAGCTAAAACAGGCACAAAAAACAATTACTGAAAGCACAACGGCCGGGAATCTTGCCTGGTGAGTTTGGCCCATGGAGGGCCGACTGGGTGGGGGATTCCTCTCTCTCTGCTCCCATGTCCTGCCACGTGCAGCTCTTGCTTAGGGCTCGGCAGGTGCGTGCATGTTGGCTGCTCCCAGCCCAGGTGTGTCCCCAGACCGGTGGAGATGAGTCGACTGGACCCGTGAGCACCTCTCCTCTTACCTGCGCAGAAGCAGCTTGGGGTGGTTTTTGTTTTCCAGGTTCTTCTCAATCAGGTCCGAGAGCAGCTGCTTCAGCACGTCCGTGGCATACTCCAGCTTGCCCTGCAGGCCGGTCATGATGAGGGAGGCCACGTTGCCCCGGTCGCGCATGGAGAAGCTGCGCTGCAGCTCCAGGGTACGGATGAAGGTGAGCAGGAACACCTTGTTGTTGATCAGCTGGGCAAAGAGCTTCAGGGCCTTCTCCACGCTCTGCTGCCCATTGCCTTGCACCTGCGAGGAGGGGACAACACCCTTGGTGACGCGCTGGAAGACAGAGAGCCCTGTGCCCTGACCCTCTGGGTCTTTGCTGCTGCTCTGAATTGGGCTCCCTGCATGCAATGCTGCCTCTGCTTCCAGCCTTGAGGCCCAGAAATGACACATATTTTTTGCTGCTTCTGCATAAAAAGTGACACTCCCGTAAGTAAATTAATGACTAATTTAGGCTATTGCTTTATTATGGGGCCACTGTAAAAAATTAATTGAGGCTTTCAGCCAGCCCCAGTTTTAAGTAATTTATTATGAGTCAAAATGATGAACTGCATCAAGCGATTCTTCACTAACTATCTTGGAGACTTATGTATTGGTTTATTTTTTTTTTTTTTTTACTAACGTTACATAATTAAGCAACTGTGTAATTGGCAACACATTTATCACTCCTGCGCTTCTGTTTTTCATGAGTAAAACAAATAAAAGGCATTCATATTTGTTTGTTACAGCATCAGCTTATTTGGCAATATAAATAATGAACATAATGTGCGGGACCGGAAAGTTCAGGGCTCCGGGAATGGGAAACGGAGAGGGAGACGGTTCGGAGGCAGCCCCAGCTGAGCTGCGGCCAGCTGTGCAGCGTTCTCTGGTTGCGGAAAGAGGCTTTAATTGAATTTGTTGATTTTAATCAGAACTTCGGTTAATGGGACCGTCACCTCTTACATTGCTATCACGCCCTCCGTGCCCCCGAAGGGTTGCCTTCATCGGCTGGCAAGTTGCAGCCACTTCTGGGGTGAAGCGCTGCTATTGTGCCGTGAAGCACAGGCACTGTTTGGTAAGCAGCGGGGCTGCCTGGAGCTGCAGGAGGGATTTACACAGAGAGAATATACTTAACCACATGAGACCCTGGGTTCATGCTTGCTCATATGAAGCGTAACAGGATGGTAATGACCTGAAGCGAGCACGGCCTCTCACATCTCAGCCTAGAGATGCTATCAGACCCTCAGCTGGTGTAACCCAGCATAGATCCATTGGTTTCCCTGGAGCTATGCCAATATGCCATAGTGGAGAAGCCAGTCCAACTCCTCCTGGGACTTCTACCCTGCTGGGGGACTGGTAATCCCATGAAATCGGTGATATGCTTCCTGCGGCACCAGGCAGCAATTTCCCATCCAAGCATGGACCAGCCCAAGCCAGCTCGGCTGGAAGGAGGCTAATGGGACCACAGCACAAGGCAGCGATGGCTGATACAGGGACATTAACACAGAGATGAATTGTTTAAAACACAGTGGAATAAAGGAAATGGCTCACCTAGAGCAAACCCAGTGCTGGGCTGTTCCAGGGTGAAACACTCACCCCTTGGGAAGCTCTAGCGAAATGCCAGAAATACAGCACATGGTTTTCTCTCCACCATAGAAGGACTAAAGGGAATTGCATATAAAGACCTAGGGGGCTAAAGCAGCCACTTTGCTGCTGGTTTTGCAAGCTCAATCTTGGCATTTTAGTAAAAAAAAGTCCAAAATAAAATACACCTGGGTCAGGCACAGAAGAGGCTGCAGGGACACGGGCAGCTTGGTTCAGAGAGACACTTTGGGGCCATTTCTCAGAACAAACTCCATGCCCTCTGCACTTATCTCAGCGCATCTAATAAGATTCAAGATGGGAAGCAGGAAGGTGCGAGTTTCAATTTAGGCTCCCAGAGGGAACCAGAAGACCATCCCAAGCGATCTAAGGACAAAGAGCAATGCTGGGGGAAAGAGCTCGGGGGCACAGGTGTTTCGTTACCTCCAGCTCCCGCAAGACGGGGTGGTCCTCGATGCCGGGGAAAAGGACCCTCATAGCGTATGTTCGATAATCGAGGTACGGGATCCCTGAGCGGTCGAGGTCACTGGTTAGCTCGTTGATGTCTGTCTGCAGTTCTGCAAAAGCTGGGAGAGAAAGAGGAAGGGGAGGATTAGGCTGTGAGACGGCAATGCAGTCACAGGTGAGAACAGGGACCTGAAGGTGGGCCTTTGGGAACAGCCAGGAGCCTGCTTCCCTAGAGGGGACAGCCATGGGTCAGCTAGGGACACTGGTTTACCGTGGACCCCGACATGCGGGTCAGGTGTACCCTCGCTTTGAAGCGCCCACTCCACCGCACCCGAGAGCAAGCGAACGCAAGCACAGCACAACGCACAGATGCTGAGAACAAAAGAGGCCTGTTAATTGGTATGCGATTCACACCTTGTGTATCAGCTCCTAAAATACCTGTAAAGGCTCCACACAGAAACAAAGATCCTATTTTTAAACTGCTGTCCCTGCCA